TGCGTGCGGCACATCCCGGGTTTGTGTCGCTGACTTGTTCCCGCTCCAAGAGCTCCAGTTCCTCTCCCCGCCCCCTTCCAGGAGCTTCTCTTACAAACTAATCCTCTCTATAGGAAGTTTAGTTATTTTTTTTGTAAGGCATTCACTGGTAGTGGTCTCATTTTTTGGTTTTTTATTCCCTTGCCCCGTGATATCAGCAATAGATTGACCGGAACTGGCCTTGAAGCAGTGAAATTGCAAACAACGTGTCCTGACGGAACCTCCAGCATTAAACCCTCTGCCCTTAGCTGGGAGAGCTTCTGCCATTTTAAAACTTAATGGGAGAATCTGTTTCCTGGACATTTAAAGACAAAAAACTCCAGGAGCTGAATGGTGGTTTCTCTGTCACTTATTGTTTTAGCCATTGTAAGAATCAGCTATTTTATGTCAAGCTAGTTCTAGTCATTGCTTCAAGTAACTTCTTTTTTTTTTTTAGTATACTTTCAGTTCTTACACCTTCAGTTAATTTTTGAGGAAATGAAACACAATTTTACCACTTTCCCAGCCTCTTCATATACAAGCTCTGCCTATTCAAAATTAAATGGTTAGTTAGCATAAAGCAACTTAACCTACAGCCCCAAAGTGATGGTAAGCACTTTGTATCTGATCAAACTTCTAGTTAAGGGTGTGCATTATGTATAATGCCCATGTTAAATAAGGTTAAATGGTTCTATTTCCCTTTCTAGAGCCAGATTAGCCTCTCTCTTTGGCCTGGATCAAACAGTCTCAAGCCAGGGAAATGATTTCTTCCAGTTCACTGCACCGAAGCAGCCCAAGAAGGGTCAGACAGCAGCTGGTGAGTAACTGGGCTTGAGCATGGGGAACACACTCAGCAGCACATTTGTGTGTGTGTGGGGAGAACCCTTGTGAGGAGCAGCAGAGCAAACAATTCCCTGAGCTTCCCTTGGGATGCCTTCCTCCTGCACCTGGGTGATTTGGAACTCAGGTCTTGGTTTCTCTGCAATTCCCACTGGGGTTGTTTCTCCTGGTGGGCAGGAGCGTGCTGTGCTGCTGTCCCCAGCCCGTGCTGTGCTCTGAGAGCTGTCCCTGCTCTGTCCCCACAGGGCAGCCCCAGAAGGCCCCGGCAGCCTCGGGAGCCCCCTCGGTGCTGGCGGCCACGGCCGTGCTCGCCTATCGATAGTAAGTGACTGCTGCTGCAGCCTGTGCCCGATCCCAGAGGGGAGTAATCCTGCATAAATGGGAGGAGACACAGGTTTCCAGCCCTATCTGCATGGTGGGAATGCTGCAAGGCAGTGAGTTTCTGCTCAAGAGCAGTTTCAGTTGCTGTGCTGCAGTTCTGATGTAAAGAGCAAGCTCTGGGTCTGGCTGTGCCTGGGAGCTGTGTCCTGGCTGCTGGGCTGGGATCCTGCTCTGTCAGATGCCTGTGGTTCATGCACTTGAGAATTGAGGCATGAGCAGAGTGAGAGCACTAAAACTGTTTGATGGGGAAACGTTTCTGCCCTGGATCTGTGAGAGGAGTTTTCAGCTCACTCCACGATGTGTGCTCTTACCTGTGGGCAAGCAGGAATGGCTCTAAGCTAAGCAAGGCTGCCTGACATTTTATACCTGGGAAAAGGGATCTGAGCTGTAAAGAATTCTGATTTAGGGGCAGTTGTGCAGCTGAATGTCTCCCTTATCTTCCAGTACAAATGGGCAGTACTTGAAGCAAGGCAAGTATGGAGCAGCTGTAGTGGGGAACCACACCACCAAAGAGGTGAGAGACACTTCCTTCCCTAGCTCTGCCCTGCTGAGGGCTCACTGCTGTCAGATGGTGTTTTGGTGAGCTCTCCAGGTGTTCTGCTTTTGGTGGTGTTCTCCTGCTGCCTTTCTGCTTCCTGGGATTTCCTGGGGCTCAGCCATCCACCATGGTGACATCTTTCTTTCCTGCAGTCTGAGAGTTTGTAAGATCTCTTACAACTCGTGCCTGAAATAGTTTGCAGTGTTTCTGGAAGTCATTTTGGTATTTATTTAGAATGTCTTTTACAACTGGATCACAGATTTGTGCACATGAAAATAGGAATAAGGGAAAATTCTGTCCAGAGATGCTTTGCTTGAGTTTTGTTCATTTAGTATCAAAAGCATCTTTCCTTCCCAAGTGTTCCTTGAAGAACACAGAACTGAGGTGCCCAGTAACTTGGTGTGTTTGAAACCTACTTTGAAAACTCTCACCCCTCCCTGGTGTTGGTATTTGATGTTTCATATCCCCCAAGTCCTCATTCATGTCTCACTAAGTTGCTTCTTCAGCAAGAACAAAATAAATCTTAGTTTGGTAACTGAGTTCCTGGGTCAGTGATGTGGGCAGTGCTGAGCTGTTGTTCTGGGGGAGCTGGGGAGCACAGGCAGTGCAGGAGGAAGCTGAAGCAGCTTTCCTCAGGCTGCCTGTGTGATCCCACATCCAGCTGGGAGCAGTCACTGGGTCACTCCCACTTCACCCCTGAGCTGTGTCCAGTGCAGGTGCACAAAGGAAAACACATTTCCATAATAATTATGTTTACTAGAGCCAAATATGTCAATAAATCTCGTATCTGTGTTGTTTAGTACTTGGGAAAACTCCTTTCAACTCAGTGTGTTGTGTCAATAGGTTGATGCAAAGATAAAAGATTTCACAAACAAACCTTTTGAAGGAAAATGCCTTTCCCAAAAGGGTGTTCAGGGCCTGGCACAGCTGCCCAGGGCAGTGGTGGGGTCCCCATCCCTGGAGGGGTTTGAAAGCCCTGTGGATGTGGCACTGGGGACTTGGGTCAGTGGTGACCTTGGCAGGGCTGGGGGGTGATCTTGGATCATTCAGTCTCTTCCAGCCTGAATAACTCTGTGATGGTTTGATGCCATGTGTGGTGAGTTCTGTGTCTGGAAGGGTTAGTGCACCCTCTTTTTCCACTGTAACTGTGAAAAATGCGGAATTAGTTAAAGCATGTTGTTTATTGTAAAACAATGAGTTTCACTTGCTTGGTTGCTGCAGCTAAATAAAACCCTTGAGAATAAATCAGTTTTAATAAGTGGCACGAAACTGTGTGAAGTATTTTTGCTGTGATATACTTGACAAATAAATACTGAGCCTTAGGCTCTGTGTGTGACAAAGCACCTTAGAATTGAAGAGGTTTTGAGCTCCTGTTTTTGTTCTTTTTCCTTGTGGAATCCAGTACAGGATCCTCCTTTACATCAGCCAGCAGCAGCAGATCACCTCTGCAAGGATCCACCCAGGCTTTGTGCTCACGGTGAGACTCTGCCTTGGAAAAGCCTTTTTTTGATCACAAAACCCACAAGGTTGGCTCTAAAATTCTTCCTTAAGCCTTGGCTTGTGACCTTTGGGATCAAACATGTGAGTGACAGGGCAGGAGGTGGCCCAGTGTGACTGTTCCCCTCGTGCATTGCACAAGAGGCTGTGACAGCTCCCTTTGGCTGCCACCTCCTCAGGAGATTTCCAAACCAAGCTCCTGTAGGAGGTAAATTATTACCTGTGTTCACAGAGATGTTTGGGGTTTGCAGCCCTGGATAAAACCAGCAAAATTCCTTTTGCTGAGAATTTGGAGTTAAGTGTCTGAGAGAGTACAAGTGAGTAAGCAGAAGGAAATGACAGCAAGGAAATGTTTTCTCTCAGAAAATTTACACTCAGCATTTTCCTGCTGTTGAGAACAATCTGGAGATTGTGAGCTCTAAAATGGAATCTCTCAGGAAGTTGGTTTCTGCCAGTTTTACAGAAAATTGATGTGATGGTTTGCTGTTCTTAGCTTGTCATCAGATGGCATCAAATTTCTTCATATGAGAGATAGAAATTTCACTCTAAAACAATGCAATTTCTGTCCCAGCTTAGACCTTGCTCTCTAGTTTTTTATAAGCACCTTCTTGAAAAATTAATGGGTTTTATAGTCAGTCCTGATGACATGGGTTTAGAAGTGAGAAGGAAGTGATTTCTCCAACTGATTCTGAAAGCCTAAATATAATAAACTATGACATGTAAATTACTCTCACTTAAAAATTCTCAGTATATATCAAAGAACCAGGCTTCAAGGGAGGTTCTGAAATCCTTCACCTTCCTGTTTGAACTGCAGCATGTAGGAAACACTTAATATTTGCTCACATACTTGAGTTATAATAATTCTTCCATGAAAATGAGCACTTAAATAAAGGCTAATTTTGAACTTGGGCAGTAAACAACAGGGTTCTTCCTGCCTTATTTTAAGTAAGTATTTTAAGTAGCTCTTATTTTTAAGCTTGTTTTGGATGTGGGTTTTGAGTTCATTTAATGTCTAAGATAGAACTGATTTGCTCTCCTCCAGGTTCAGCCCAACAATTACAGCACGTTCTATGATGATCAGAGGCAGAACTGGTCCATCATGTTTGAGTCAGAAAAGGCAGCAGTGGATTTCAGTAAGCAGGTAACTGCTCCCCTCTGGGCCACTGCTGATGGTGCTTTACAGCAGGGGTAAATCAAGCTTTGTTTTCACTGGAGTTCAGCTCTGAGTGCATAACTGTGATGGAGACAGATCTGAGAGCAGCCTGCCCTGAGTTTTGCTCATTAAAACAAATCTCTTTGAGGCTGGGAGCCTGTTGCTTCTCAGGATTCCCAAGTGCTGCATATCAATGGTTCTGTAGAGCAGAGGGTGTTCAACCAGCAGCACTCAGCACAAGGAGATTTGTGTGTTTCTGGGAGTGCATTTCTAATGTGGGCTGGATCAGCACAGCAAGGAATGCATCAGATTGATGAGTGGGACTTGTCATGAAAGGCCAGAGACACTGCCAGGCTTTCCCTCTGCAGGTGTGCATTGCCAAGTGCAACAGCTCTGCAGCCCTGGACTCAGTCCTCTGCCAGGATCTCGTGCTGGGAGAAGGGCAGGGGGTGGAAGGAGGAGACTCCCTGGAGGTTGCCTATACAGGATGGCTGTTCCAGAACAACGGCCTTGGGCAGGTAAGGACACCCCTGCCACCTCCCCCTGCTGGGGGGGACAGTCCTGGCAGGAGCCTGCTCATCCACCACAGTACTGGGGTTGATGTTGAAGTGTACTCTGGGCATTTGGGGCACTGTAAGTGGGGTCATCTGTACTGCCTATAGAATATCAAGGGATTCTGGCATATTACAAAAAATATTCCTCACTTGAAAGTGTGAAAGTGATGTTGAGCACTGGCACAGGCTGCCCAGGGCAGCAGTGGAGTCACATCCCTGGAAATGTTCAAAATCCATCTGCATGTGGTGCTTGAGACATGGTGTGGTGGTGAACAGGGCAGTGCTGGGGGAATGGTTGGACTTGGTAATCTTAGAGGGCTTTTCCAACCTTAATGTTTCTTTTATTCTGTTATGTTCAGATTTAATTGCTTTAAAACTTCTGTGGACACTCTCACACATGAATATTTAATGCTGTGCTTTGCTTGACTCAGCCCTGTCCTAAAGCAAGTCTGAGTCTCCAGTTATCATTCACTTCATGAAATTGTACTTCAGGAAATGGACTAAAGCTCTCTCTTATGGCTGGGAATTAATTTTTGTAGCGGTGGGATGGGAAATAGCATTTAGCCAGAGATTCTAGGAGTTTATGGAATGTGTAAAGCAGCATTCAGAACCGTGAAGCAGTTGGGAAATCCATGTGTTTTGTGTTCTTGTTCAACTCTCAGGTGTTTGACTCTAATGTTAACAAAGACAAGCTGCTGAGGCTGAAGCTGGGCTCTGGAAAGGTCATCAAGGTACAACTTCTGGCACTTTCATCACAAGAATTCAAGTCTCAGAGCTTTGAATTCCTGCAGATCTTGTTCAGGATTCATACTTGCTGTTTCTGCTTCATTTATTGGCAAACACTCTGTGACAGTGACTCACTCAAGCTTTGCACAATAGAGCCCAGTCTCCTTTTCAACAGTGTTAGACAGGGGTTGTTCTCTTCAGTAAAAAGGAAACTTCTGTTTTCAGGAGTTGGAGTTTTATTGCCTTTGTTTTTCCTGGAAGTCACTTCATCCACTCCCTTGTTCTTGGGGAGCCCTATTTCTAAAGGAAACAATTTTTCTTCCAGGTGTTGTGATACTCCCTTATGTTATCCCATAAAATCAGGGTTTGAGTCAGAGATGCTTTTGTTCAGGTCACTTCCATGACCTGAGTAATTCATGTATGACCTGTATAATCCTGTATAATTCAAGTATGACCTGTTACAAGTTAGCTTTTATTGAAGGTGTGCTATTTGTCTACTTTGTTTTATCCTGTTCTTACTAATTTTGCCTGGCTGTTTGAGCCATCCCATTCAGTGCTGGCATCCCTTGGGCAGCTTGCATTGCTCTGACCTCATGTCCCTCATTACAGCTATATTCTTTGGTTGCCTTGTAAATCTAACCAGAGCAATTCAGATCTCTTTGGAGTCCAATTCTTCCCCAGAATTCTGAGTGAGTTTGCCACTGTGTGGTGGAGCTGCATCTTTATTCTTAAGTTAACACTGGGATTTACAACTGGCTCTCAGGATTTGTGGCAAGACAAAGGTTTAGTGCTGCCCATTGAAAATAAACAGGATTTTGCAAGAATCTCTATATATTTTGGAACCTGTGGGGTAAATAATGTCACTGATTTAAATGTTGCTTTCTCTTCTGTTGCCTGTGCCCACCAAAGGGCTGGGAAGAAGGAATGCTGGGCATGAAGAAAGGAGGGCGAAGGTTCCTCATCATTCCTCCAGCCTGGGCCTACGGGGCTCAGGGCGTGGCTGCTCGAGTGCCCCCAGACTCCACTCTGGTGTTTGAGGTGGAGCTCAGGAGGGTGAGTGTCCCCTGCCACACGTTTGGTTTCCATCTGGTTTGTGTCTGCAAGGGGCAACCTGCTGGTGGTGTGAGAACTCCAGCTCAGAAGCTGTTAGAAACCTCAGCAAGATGTGTATCTTTAATTCAAACAAACCAACCCAAAACAGAGCCCTAAACCCAGAAAATCCCTCAAGGCTGTTTGTCTACTGTAACTGTCTTGGGATCTTTTAGCTGTCTTATTTGTGAGTCACTTGGGAAAACAGAATATTGTGGGAGGAATGAGAGGATGTAAAGACTCAGCTTCTCCAGCTCTGAATCAATTGGCTGGTTTTCCTTGAAGTGCAGGAGTTCCACAGGCAGTGGCATCACAAATAAATTGATGGCAATTCTTACAGGAACCCAGAAAAAAAAAATCTTTTTTTTTTCCTTCATGCTTTTTAAGGTGAAGCTGGCAAAGGAGGGCTCTGGTTCAGATGGGCTGAGTGTCAGCTCCAGGGATTCCCCTGCACCTTCTCCAGTTCCCAGCTCAGATGGCTTCTCCTCAGACTCTGCTTTAGTGCCTCCCTCCACCATCCCTCCAAAGCCTGGGTAAGAGGCAGCACGGCCTGGACAGCTTTCTGTGTTAATGCTGGTGATGCCCCCCAGCACTGATAGATCATTTGGCAAATGTGGGCTCCCTGTGCCAGCTCAGTGCCCTCCATGTGGCAGAGCAGTGCTTGCTAACAGGACTTGCTGGAATTTTCTCCCTGAGTGCTGACTTCCAGATTAAAGCAGTTGGAATGGGCTGCAGTGAGGGAAATCATTCCAGCATTCCTGAGATCCAGTGGGATTGAGCTGTGTGGGTGCTGCTCTAGCAGCTGTCTCACCTCAGCTGGCATCCTTGGCATCAGTTTGGACCTTCTCAGTCTCCACAACTCCCTGAGAAGAGGGTGTAGCCAGGTGGGGTTGGGTTCTTTTCCCAGGTAATTTACTGGGGAGAGGAAATCACCTCTTAAGTTACTCCAGGAGAGGTTTATGGTGGATATTAGGAAAACCTCCACTGATAGAATGGTCAGGCATTGGCACAGGTTGCCCAGGGTGGAGTTACCATTCCTGGAGGTGTTCAAAGAATGCAAATGTGGCACTTGGGGATGGGCTTTAGTGCTGAACATGCTGGGGCTGGGTTAGTGGTTGGTGACTCAACCTTAGATGTATTTTCCAACCTTAATAATTCCATGTTCTGTTCCTGAAATTAAAGGGGTCAGTCACCCTTTTTAGGGAGCCCAAGTAAGTGCTGCCCTTGTTGCCAGAAGTAGTTTATTGGACTTGGTTAAAATTATTTATACCAGAACATGGTTGTTAAAGCAATCAGCAAAATTATCTTTCTATAATCAGCTGTTCCAATGGGCCACAGTGGTGTCCTGAGCTTATCTACAGATAACACTGCAAAGAGTGTTCCAGAAGAGTGGGCTAAGGGAAATGCTCATGATGGGAGAAAGCAGCTTTCCTAGGGAGAGGTGTATTTAACAGTGTTTATAAATGCAGAGTGTTGGCTCCTGAGTTGCTCCTGGCTGACTCCACTCCTGTTGGCTTTGCAGGGAGCCAGCTGTCCGGGCCAAGTCCAACTCCATCAGTGAGCAGCTTGCAGTAAGTGCTGCCTCCTCCTGCCTTGAAGCCTGAGTAGAGAAGTTCATTTTCACTTTAAGCATTGGGTACTGCTGAGGATAAAGTGAGCATCATGCAAGACACTGGAATGTTCTCCTTACAGCAGCTTAGGGCCTTGATTTTGTAGGAATTAATGGTTGGACTCCATGACCTTAAATGTCTTTTCCAGCCTTTCTGATTCTGTGATTACCAGGACCTGAGGACCCCCAGCCCCAATTCCTACTCTTAAATGAAAGTGACTTTGACCATGTGGATGCTCACAAGGCTGGTTGTCTTTGAGATAAATGGATAAATTTAAAATAGATAACAAATGAATTGGGACATTCAGGATAAGCTTATAGAGCTGCATGAGAGGACTTGGTGCCTCCAGACAGAAAAAGCTGCTGAGCAGCTTCCTGAGCTCCCACATTTTCTTGTCTTGGTGCTTTGTGCAGGGATAGATTTTCCTCTGTAGTGCCAGCACTGTCATCCCAGAAAGAGGATATATAAAACAAGCCAGATTAACAATCCTGGTGCTTGAAGGATAGATTTTCACAGAGTCATTGAAAAATTGAGTCAAAATTCAGTCTGAGATTTGGAAGTGTTTGTAAATACCCCAAAAGCCTGGGCTGAGACAAAGGGAGAGTAACAAAATGTTTCTTGTAGAACCCAGATGTGGCAAAGGCAAAGCTGATTTCTCGGATGGCCAAAATGGGACAGCCCATGCTGCCTTTCCTTGCTGGGACAGCAGGGAGCCAGCTGGACTCCAGTGACTCAGAAATAGAGGTACCAGCCACAGCAGGGTGACTTTTTCACTGCTTTTCCTACACTGGGGGTTGCTTAAAGTGGGATCTGTAGCAGTGGCTCTGCCCTTGTCCAGGGAAATGTGCTCTGGTTCTGGGACAGAAAGGTTACACTTCAGTTCCTGGGGTAGCACCTTGTCTCAAGTGACCTTGGGCCTTGTTCTTTGGTGTTTCTTGTAACGTGCAGAAATGTTTTTAGGATCCCAATACTCTGAGAGGGACAACACAGCCAGTGGCTTCAACCAGAGCCTCCCAGCCAGCTCAGGCAGTGCTGCCCACAGTGTCCACACAAGGTAACGTGCTGGGGAGCTGCTGCACTCCCCTTCCACCCCAGGGGGGCTGGGGGAACACAGGATTCCTTCCAGGAGCTGGAATATCAGCTGGAAGCTTCTGATAAGGCTGATCCATGAGCCACTAATGCATGGAGCATAAAACAGCCCTTGGAGTGTTTCTTCATTGTGGTGCTGTGCTCGAGGAAGAGCCTGGGCTGTCCTGTCACTGGGCACTGAGATTGGCCATGGATTGGTAAATGGAGTGTTAGAAATCCTCTCCCAGTGAACAGTCCTTCTGGGAATGATGGAAATCCAAGTGAAGGAAGGGCAGCATGGGGCTGGGTGTGCCTTCCCATGATGGCATGGACACATCAGCTGCTGGTCAGCTGAGCAGCCCTCAGTCAGTCTGAGCCACACCTCGTGTCAGTGAACTTCAGAGCTATCTCTGTCTGAATGAAAAGAGGTTGTTTAAGTGAGCCACAAGTGGGATTTCTGTGAAAGTTACTCTTTTCTTGACCCATTATCATTTGCTTGACTGGATTTAATTTTCACAAGGTTGCAGACAGGCTTTTGTTAAACTTTTGTCTATTCAGTGGTTTGGTTGTTTGGTGGGTTTTTTTGCCATTTCACACTGTGTGAATTCAATTATTCTGAGCTGCTTTGTAGCATGCTAACTTTATTTCTTCCCTTTCAGTACCTCAAGCATCTGGTGCTGCACCTTCAGTATCTTCTGCTGCTTTAATTCCTGCAACGATCCAGCCCCATTCAGCTCTGCCTGCAGGAGCACAAGGCTTTCAGGTACTAAAAATGAAATCAAGGAGAATATTGGCACTTCTGTCCTTTCTCCTGAGTCTGCTCCATTTCTGGGAGCAAGGACTTTATAAGGGTGAGAATTCCAGGCTGTTTCCTGTGACTCTTTGGCTTTCTCAGGTTTTCATCATATGCCTCTTAAAATTTATTCAAAAAGGGCTAATTTTCTGATTATGATGAGTTCTTAAACTGAGCATGAACCAGGCTTTGTAAATACCTGGTTTTGTAGTGGATACAAATAAAACTTTCAAGTTCCTCAGCAATGAGCAGTAGAGTTGCACTCAAGTTGTGCTGTGCTTTTTGAGCCCTTTCCAGGAAATAACCTTGTGTTCAAATTAACATCAGAGGGAGCTGTTCACATGCTGGTCTGACACTCTCAAATGCAGGATGACAGTTTTGCTGAAATTTGAGTGAAGGTGGGAACTAACTAACCCTGAAAAGAAGTGTTATTTTCCTTTCACAATGACTCTTGTGTATTTTGATTTTCCAACTCCTTAATTCTTGGATTTTTTTCTTTCCAAACATCATCCTTGCTCTTGGGCTTCAAAAAATATGAAAGTGTGAGGACATGGGGAAACAACAAAACATTCTAACCTATTGAACTTGTCCTGCCAGGCATATCCAGGAGTGGCATTTGCTTACCCCCAAACTGCTGCATCTGCCTCTCAACTGCAGCCTGTGGGTCAGATGTATCCTGCTCCTTACCAAGGTATGTTTTAAAGGGTATCTGCTTCTCAGAGGGCTGCAGTTGCTGCATAAACAGCTGGTGATGATATTTATGGCTGTGGTACCACTGTGCTGTTTCACAAATACTTATTTTTTAATATCAAATAGGGGCAAGCACTTCCCAATAAACACTCATCTCTTTCTTGCCTTGAAGAGCTTTGTGCAGTGTGAAAGGGGCTGGAATTTGTGTCTTCCTCAGGCTGGGTATTACTAAAGGAATTTGGTAGATGGTGCTTCCAGTTATAATTAAAACTACCAGCCAGGGAGAGAATTGAACTGGAAAAGGCAAAACCTAGGAAGGACCAAATGCATTTAAAGAACCATTATGTCATCCCAGCTGGTGAAGTCTTGAGTGAACTGAGCCTTTCTTGGAGCCTGTTTTTGCAGAAGCTGCCCTTCACTGCTGTGGTTTGATTGTCCCTCTGCTGCTCTGGGGGCTTTGCTGTTGAGCTGAGCTGTTACATGGCTCAAGAATTTCCTGTACTCAAACCTGCCTGAGTTTATTTGGGAAATACCTACATTATTCATTTTCCAGATACCATGTCCTTTTCATTTCTAGGCTTTGCTGGTGGCAGGCTTCATGCTACCCAGCTTTTGCTGTGTCCCTGCAGGTATTTCCCCTTGTCACTATAAATTCTCTCCTTTCCTTTCAAGCCCCTGGAGATGTCACTTCCTTTTTGATGACAGAAGCTCGGCAGCACAACACTGAAATCCGA